TATCCTATCCTATCCTATCCCAATTCCAATTCTTTGCTCTACAGAGAAAACGATGCCTTCACGTCAGCCCGGCTGCAGGCGGCGTCTTGTCAAAATGACCTCTAGTCCCATTCAAAAAACAAGAACCCTCCTCGCAGGCTCCCCCTGGACCCGCTCGCCCTGTCGGCTAAACAATCCCAGGACGGTCAGTTACCGGGCGCTGGGCACATCCACAGGCCCTAGCCGCCCGCCTCTGGCCAGGGCCTCGCTGCTGCTCCCGCTGAACTTTTCTTCCATTGCCGGCTCTCACGCCCGGCCTCTTCAGCCGCCGCCACCGCCGCCGCCGCCGCGGGGCCTCCTCATCCTCCACAGACCGAGGGCTAGATGAGCGAACAGGTAAATGACGGCCCGCAGCAGGCCTCAGCCCGCCGCGGAAGACGAAGAGGCCGGTGAGCCAAAAGCCACGTCCTCAGCAGCCGCCGGAACTGCAGAGAAGCGGAAAGGGGAAAGCGGGGACCGGAAGGAAAGAGACACTTGCTGCTCAACTTCCCATCTCTTCCCCCGCTCCTGCCTGAATGGATTCGCCCATCAGGGCTTTAGGAAATAGTATGAGGCAGCGCCATCTGTCGGCGCATGTCTACATCGTTTTCCTCCTGGAATGATTCTTACGATACAATATTTATGCCCATTTTCTCTGGAGGAGATTCTCTCTGACTCTGACCCGAGTCTTTCAGATACGGTCATGCCACATTGCTGCTACTCGTAGCCCGGTATTATTTTTTTGGCTACATGGGCTTAAATTCAGAGTGAAAATCTGTGGCCTTCAAATATTGATATACCACAGTTCCCATAATTTGCAACTGCCTTGACCAGTGGTTCATATCTTTCTAACTAGATTCTGCAGTTGAATCAGAAACTCTCCAGTGGGAAAATACTTCTCCTGTTGTGGGCTGTGGCTTCTCTCCAGAATTCATTGGATTCACTTAGAATTCTCATATAAAATAAGGTACAAAGTTGTAGTCTAATAATAACTCAGAAGCAAGTTCCAAAGACTTAGTGGAATAACTACATTGGATTGCAATCTACCTATAAGAAGCTTTCTCAGAAATAAGCTCCATTCAGATTGAACCCAACAGGATTTATATTACTGGATCAAGTGTTCCACTTATGACTGCAGGCCAAGAGTCTCCTTTTAACTTACCAGGTGTCGTGTGATTCCTGGCTCACCATACTAAGAAAGGAGTGTAATTTCATACCTTGCCATCCAGGCAATGAAGCTTCAATTTGTGACCCTAAATTCAATTTCACCCTCTGATGTCTTGGCCATGGTACTTACATCTGTCTGCTTGGCCCTTGTGTGCTGTCTGGATTTTTTTGCTGGAAAGCTGAGTCAAATTCTTGGGCAGAGTAATAAAGGTGAAAGGTGAGACTGGAGCTGACCATATCTGATCCCAATAAGGTAGCCAACTCACCAACCAGTGGTGGGTTCCGGATCACGTTCCAAATCGTACAGTTGGAACAGGTCGCCTGTTAGATCGGGTAAAGGAAAGCACATAAAGGCTCCAATAACAACAGCTCTTTATTGCAAGTCAGGTAAACATCCAGCTGGGTCACTGATTCCGGTCACTTCCATCCCCAAAGCTTGGAACCAATCAAGCCCCAGGAGGCTCTGAAGGTTTCTGCTGACCACCATCATGGGGAAGTTTTCGCAGAATTGTTTGTAGTTCACCCGGAAGATGCCTTGGCCCACGATGGGGACCTGGTTCCCCTGGAAGTCATGCAGGCAGACGTCAGGGCTTTGGAGGTGTCGCTTCTGTAGGTCGGGGATCACTTGCTTTAGGACTGACCATGGGATTATGGTCAGTGATGACCCGGTGTCGATCTCCATCTCGCATGGAGAGTCCTTGATGAGGACAGTGCCTTTCAGCTTCTTGGGGCGCCTGGTGCGGATTTGCCTAACTGGAACAGTGACATTCAGCTTTTGGGGGCACCCGGTGCGGATTTGTGTGGCAGACGTATGGTTGGTGATTCTATCATCGCCTTCTGACTCCTGTGGGTACTTCTGTTAAGCACCTGGTTTGGGCCGCTGTTTACGGTTTTGTGATCCTTTGGGCTGTCTTGTGGTGGTAGGGAAGTCGCTGCAGCACACCATGGCGATGTGCCCCTTCCGCTCGCATCGCTGGCAAGTTGCTTCGCGGAAATGGCAGGATGATTGGACATGGTCTCCTTCACAGCTGGTGCAGGGTGGAACTTGTGAGATGAATTTTCGCGCCGGCTTTGTGCAGCTACTGCACATGCGATAGCTGTCTTCCTCCTCGCTTCCAGAGCTCTTGGGCTCTGTAGTCTCGCGATGTACGCGGGTACTTTTTCACGTGTCCGGAGGTGCACTCTGGCACTGTAGGGTTTCCGTCGATTTGGTGGCTGATTCGGATGCTCTAGCCTCGTCTAGTGCGATCTGCAGAGAGAGGTTGGATTTAGCAAGTAGCTTCCTCTGCAGAGTAATGTCTTGCACGCCACAAATTATGCAATCCAGAATCAGCTCATCCAGGTCACAGAACTCACAGTAGGCTGTGGATTTTCGGAGTGCTGCCACATACTCATTGATAGATTCGCCCTCCATCTGGTTTCAAATGTTAAATTCGTGGTGGCGAATGTATTTGGACAGCTTGGAGTGGGGTTGGTTCCAAGAGGTTTTTCGCTGTTTCGAACACTTCCTGGCCACAGTAATCGAGGAACATGTTCTTCTTACAGGTTTCTGGGACGCCCATGATATCATTTGCTTCTAGGAAACACTCGAATCATAGCATGTATGATTCCCAGTGCTCGGTGGCTGGATCATATGGAGTTGGTGGGGCATGCATAGCCATCCTGATTCAATCTCATCATTCAGCGATGGCTTGCTCGATGCCGCACAGGATGCTCCGGGCTGGATGTACTTGCAAGGATTCGTTTGCTCTTTTTGTTCGCCTAGTTGCCTTCCCATCTCACCTTCGTCACCAGTGTTAGATCAGGTAAAGGAAGGTACACAAAGGCTCCAGTAACAACAGCTCTTTATTGCAAGTCAGGTAAACATCCGGCTGGGGAATGGTCGGGCAGCATCCCCTATTAAAGGGATCTGTCAGACCTCTTGACCAATGGGGTTAAACCTCTGTTCCCACTGGAACAGAGGATCTTGGTGGAAACCTCTGTGAGTGGGAGGGAATATCTAACCCGCCATTGTCCACATGGACGCACGCAGCACCCGCGCACAGCACACGCATTGTCTTAGCGCTTCCGTGAGCCTCTGTGATACTCCAGTTGGTCAGCAGAGTGTTGTGCAGGCACTGTACGTGCAGTGTGCGTGCATGGAAGCGCCAAAGATTTAAAAGACCTCCCCGTGCCCCCCAAGATTGCTTTGCAGGCTTCCCAAACCCTCTGCATGTCCTGTTTTTAGCAAAAATGGAGCACGCAGAGGGTTTGGGAAGCCTGCAAAGCAATCTTGGGGGGCACGGGGAGGTCTTTTAAATCTTTGGCGCTTCCATGCACGCACACTGCACGTACAGTGCCTGCACAACACTCTGCTGACCAACTGGA